CATTTTGCATGCTGCAGGATGTAGTTGCTGTTGGCAGCCTCTTGTGGTTTGGAGATGCTGTGTTCTCAGGCTGGTCCAGGCAGACTGGCTGTTGGAAAACTCACCAGTTTTTGTCAGACTGGCTGTTGGAAAACTCACCAGTTTCTGTCAGTACAGAGAGAGTGCTCAGGCACTGGAATGTGCTGCCCAGGGAGGTGGTGGATTCACCATCCCTGGAGGTTTTCAAGCTGAGACTGAATGTGGCACTTAGTGCCATGGTCTAGTAACGACAGGAGGGTTGGACTCGATGATCCTTGAGGTCTTTTCCAACCTGGTTGATTCTATGATTCTGTGATCCTTACCATGTGTGCTAGATAAATCTTGGCTTCCTTGCTCACACACTTAATACAGGCCTAAGCCTATTGGGCATGATAGACATGTGTGCAAACACACACAGTATATGCCACTATACATGATGTTCTCTGGTATGTACAGAGATGCTGTAGAGATGGCCCTTTCAGATGTGGTGTCTCTGATACCAGTAGAAGAGTGGTTTGATGGCAGGAGGCTTGTTCCTGGGTCTTGGGGAGATCTTTAATAGCTGGATTGCAGGAAAACAGTGAAGTGGCAAAAATCTGACCCTGTGTACAGAATGGGGTTAAATATTTCTAGGAGTAAAGAAAATATTGGTTGATTCTTAACATCTCTTGGGAAGCAAACTGAGGAAAAATAATGATGGAGTGTCTGATCTGTAGAGCTGGGAATTATTTCACTATCCAGAAAATTCAGGTCTAATCACCTCCATTGTTTGACATGTTATGGGGGATAAATCTATGCTTTTGACATATATCAGGCATGTGTAAGCATGATAGCCTATCATCTGGCTCTCTACTGTTAAATTAGAGATTTCTTAGGAGAAAAAAGGCAATCTAACATGAACAGTCCAGTGAGCACTCACATCCAGTAATTGGATCAACTATCCTGATCTCAGTAATGTTACCCAGGCTGGTTTTTAACTTCTAGAAGAAAGATTAAAAAAAGAAACTAGGGGTTTTTTTCTTTTCTCAAAATGTAGGCTATCTCAGCCCAAAGCAACCAGTTTAAAACACTGTCTAGAGGCCAATTTGCTTCAAAGCAAAGGAACAGGGTTTGGGAGAGGTCACACAAGTGCACAAGGAAAATTGGTAAGAGCAGAGTAGCTAGAATGTAGTTTGATTAATTTTGGACTTGTAATCCTGAAAACCCACGTGGAGCTGGTTTCTGAACTCTAGAGATGCTTCAGTGTGTGCTGTAAAAGTTGTCTTCATGGTCCCTGATGGTTTTCAGTCTGTTGGTATCTTCATCTCAAACAAATGGAGCCTTACAGACATTCCAAATGCATTTTCTCATGTTTTGCTAGGTTATAAAGCTTGAGGCAATTCCTGTGATCTTTCAAACCACTACTGAAACTTACCATTAAAATGTCTCATACTTATTTTTAAAGTTGTAGGTTTACACCAATGCATCACTCAACTTCCTTTTTTTACTGGTGTGGAAAACATTAAGTCATAAAACTGTGACTACAGGACATCAGGATAAAACAGCAGATAAGAAAGCGTTTTAACCACCTGAAAAATTTAATAATTCGACGTTTGAGATATAGATCTATAAATTTACACAGGATTTAACTGGGCCTTCATAATTAGCAACTCTATATGTCTAACATCCACAATTAATATTTTAAAGGCAGATGGTTATAGTTTATCTTGTTGCTTATCTTTAAATGCAGAGTGAACAGGTTTCAAGGTGACTGTCACAATGCATAGCTTGGTCCAAAGTTTCTGATTTTAGCAATCTTTCTGACAATTACTGTGCCTCATTTTCAGGGAGAAACAATCTCTGATGGGGTGTATAGAGAGAGAGCTGGCACTTGGGTGGGAATCAGGTGCTACTGTGGCAGCTTTTCTCCAGGAGAACAGAGCAGGATGGTAGAGCCTGCTGTCATGAGCATTCTTCTGCTCGGGGTTGTCTTCTCATGACTGATCTGACTCCTATTAGGGTGATGGTTGTGATGTCCAACTATAGGAAAACCAATGTTTTGATTCTCAAGTCTCAGGGAATTTCTTGAAGGAAACCTAGGGAAGGTTTTCTCCAGAATTAATGGGCTTCATTGAAAGCACTCACTAGTGACTTAGTGACATGGCTATGACAGGTGAGGGAACTGTACAGAATGGAATCTGGCAATAAAAATCTTCTCTTGGTCCCTTTTATTACACTCACTTTGATATCAGCAAATGCATAAAGGCACACTGCCATTGGTCCTGTACCCATCATATACAAAGAATCTTTATTTTCAACCTTTTTGGGGAAAACTTTTACACATCTTTTAAAAACATTCAATTATAAGCTGGCAAGATATTATACAGTACATCTGATAAATGCTTTCATGTTAATTTAGTGTAATTTCTTCTGCTTGCTTCAGTATCTAAGCAGAAATTTCTTTTGGCACAGTTACCTATTTATTAAATCCTGAGCAGGAGGGGCAGCTATACTTCATAGGAAGACCTCAGGCTGTATTTGCATGCCTTTCTTGAGGCTCAGATGAAAACAGCAGTATCTGCTCTGTCCTGGCTGAGGTGTGTGGCTGTATGGAGCTGCCTGAAAGGGCCACTGCAGCAAAGGCTGGAGAAGAATCTCACAGCAGAACCACTGAGAGACCTCACCTTGTCTCTTCAGAAACATGGAGAACATGCAGCATCACTGCACAACCAGCTGCAGAGGTGAGTGATTTAGAGCCACAGCAACATCTCCAGAGCTCACAAAAACTACCTCAGTGTCTGCTGAGACTGCAGTTGTTACAAGGCTTTTCAGTGTTACTTGTTTGATTGTAACAATAAAATGCATTCTATATTGCAGAAGCTCTTAAATTACCTGTGAATCTTCTCTTAAAAGGAGGTTGACAGTTGTTCTTGCTTTTGAATAATACATAAAATAGTTTCATCATAGTACAGTGAAATGTATATTTATTTATAAATCTGGTAACGAGCTATGTCACTTTGGTTGGATTGTTATCTTTTGTTTCATGTCACTGCAGTGAAAATGAGGCTTTCAATCTAGAAATGAAAAGAAGATTTCCAATTAGTAGCAAGTAACAGCCTCCTTTACTGATTGTTTTAAAATAAAGACAAGGTATTTCAACTATTCACAAATATTTCTGACATATCGCAAAGTAACATAAGAGAAAAAGATCATGATCATACTTGAGGCAAAACAGTTTAAAATTTAATGTTTACAAATGCATCATTTTTTTCCTTTTCAAAATGTTTGCTGATACAGTTTTGCAGGAGACTCTGTTTGGTCACAAACACTTCTACTATACACACTGTGCTTTGGTCTAGGGAACAAATGGGAAAAACATTTTCAAACTGGTACTAAGTGGTCAGAAACAGGGACTTGTAAGCTCACCTCTAATAGTCTTGCAATTTTGCCTCTGTAGACTTTGTGCAAGACTTAACATGGATTTTTTTAATGATTGTTTTATAACATGATATGCAGTTGACATTTAATTTACACTGTATTTAAGTAATCAAAATATCTGAGACTTATTTCTTCTATATATCCATTTTGAAGCTTTAAGGCTGCACCACAAACAGTATTTTGTCATTTTCTTAAATATTATAATGACTTTGTCAAATTTAGAATTGTTAGGAGTGATGGCAATGATGATCCCCATTTAAAAAAATCCCAAACCAAACAGAAGAATTCCCTGGGAAACTGCACACATGATACATACACATAACACATAACTAAAAAATTATTCCAAAGTTTTGATAAATATTTAGTTCCAGCTAGAGCTAAGAGTTATTCTAGTTCTAAAGAATAAAATGTTTATTATATACAGAAGGGTTGGATGGAATATGGACATTTGACAAAGATCACTCAAGGCATTTCATGGTCTGAATTGTTCATACAGTTTTGATGCAGCTGCCCTTTTCACTTAGGCATAGGCTTGTGCCACCTGTGGGAAGGGAACATTCCTGGTGGTGTCAAGGGGCTCAGCTTTGCCCGATCCAAGTTCATCTTCTCCTGGCTGCTCAGTCTTCAACTGAACCAGGAGTGTCTTTCAGGACTGAGAGCCCTTTAGGGCTTGCTTGAGCTAGATGCAAACTTGCACAGCATTACCAGATGCCAGTTTACATCAGGTAAGGGTTTGGTCTTTTGCTTTCAGTACATTACAACATGAAAAACTGCACCAGCGTTTTACAGTGAGCACCATTTGACTGACTTTGGTAACTTGGCACGACCAGCGGTATCGATAATATGCTGAACTCCTGTCTTGCACAGTAAGAAAGCAGAGCTGCCAATTACCTTGCAACTAGAGTCTGTAAATATTAAAGCCATAAATATGTTAATAACCATACACATATACACAAAACACAGCAGTAGCAACATTACAGGATGCAGTACCTACTCTATATAACTGGGTTTTGTTAATATAGCTGCAACAGCAAAATAAATGCTATTTAATGTGAAGCAAACCCTTCTTCAAAGGGCAGTGGCAGTAAGACAAAGTTCAAGTCCAGGTTTTCATTAATTTGACATGAACCAAGCTAGATCAATCCCACTGTCTATCAAATCTAATCAATGAAAGAGTAGCACTATGGGAAGATAGCAACTATCAGTTAGCACTAAAACTTTCTGAGCTTTCTTGTGCCACCATTTGTAATTAATTCTCCCTTTTTCACAAGTGCTCTTTCTGTGAGCACTCATCAGACTTAGCAGGGGATAAAGTTACTAGATACAAAATATGGTTTGGGGGTAAGGATTAACCGAAAGAACCAGCACGAGATTGGATTTCCTGAATCCTGAGAGGTGCTCTCCATATCTTTAAGTGAAGTTTCCATGAGGTTGCACTTAGCAGACCACTAAGAAGTTGTTGCTCTCCAACGTTTTCTTCTTTTTCATGCAGTTCTGTTTCAAAGCTTGGTAGCTATCACGTGAGAAGGGCTACAGGAGATGACTGTGCTGGTCCACTGTCTTTGCTAATGCTCTTCAGAGCAGCGTCCTCTCCTCAGGATCACATCATCTAGTCCAATATCCCCTGTTCTTCCTTTCCCTTTCTCTCCTTTGAAAATAATCTGGGAAGAGAAAGAGAACAATTTGAGTGCAAATGAAAGTAAAAGGAAAGAAACATTGGTTGAGACAGGCTTCAACAGTATGAAAGCAAAAATCCTAAGAAAGCTCAGGCAATCGTAACTGACTCACAAAAGCCTATTTATTCTGCTCAGAATTATGCTGTGTTTTCTATTTCTGATGCTCTCCCTTCTCCACTCTGGCAGGGCCTTTGTGAAGAACCAGCAGTTCAGGAGAGAGTTGCTACAGTTGCACCATCTGCTGAGGTGAAATGAACCTGTTGAGATGACAACCTTGAGTGCTTCCTACGTATCACTTCTGCACTGTTTTCATTGTCCTTCATGGAAACACATAAAATCCTCTGCATTCTGAAAAATGCTGTCTAATAGAGGAGCTTTCCATTTCTAAAGCCCCTTGCAGCTGCCTTAGTTGTGGGAACTAGAAAAACTCATCTTTTATTTAACAAATTCTGGCTCCTGCAGTCTCATGATAACCTACGGTCATATCACCCTGCAAATTCCAGGGATTGTCTCACCTTGGAAGCTAAGCCAGGTTGGGCCTGGTTAGTACTTGGATGGGAGACCATCTGAGAATACCAGGTGCTGTAGGCTTAAAAATACCTCTGGTCAGGAGCTGTAAGGGCTAGTAGAGAGAGCTTTAAACTAATTTGGAAGGGGAAAAGTGACAATACCAGGCTGGCCAGTGATAGCCTGAGAGACTGCAGGCCAAAACTTCAGAAAGCAAAAACTACTGGGATTGCTTACTGCACTTCAAGAGGTGTTGGCTATAAGGAACAAGACCTGAAATGTTTCTATACCAATGCATTGAGCATGAGAAACAAACAAGAAGAGGCTGAAGCTTTGGCTCAGTCCCAGAGACTTGACATCACTGGCACAAGTGAAACCTGGTGGGATGAGTCCTGTGACTGGAGTGCTGTGCTGGATGGTCACAGGTTCTTTGGGAGGGACAGGCAGGGACAGTGAGATGGGGGTGGCAGTGCACATAGCTGAGGGGTTGGAATGTATGGAGTTTGCAGTTGGCAATGGCCTGGTTGAGAGCCTCTGGGTAAGGACCAAGGGACAAACAAATCACAGATATCATCGTGGGAATCTACTATAGACCAGCCAATCAAGATGACTGATGAATTATTCTTTGAGGAACTGGGTTACACCTCCAAATTAATGTCCCTTGTCCTTATGGGAGACTTCAACTTGCCAGATGTTAACTGGGAACACCATAGAGCTGGCACAAACAGGTCAAGCAGATTCCTAAAACACCTGGATGACAACTTCATGATGCAGGTACTAAGGGAGCCAACTGGGATTGATGCCCTCCTGGATTTGTTGCTTGTTAACAGAGAGAGCCTCATGAGTGAAGCAGTGATTGGTGTCTGGCTTGGCCATAGCAACCACAAAGCAATTGAGTATAACATCTCTATTGACAGGAGGAAATGTGCCAGCAAAACTACAACTTCAACCCTGGACACGAGGAGAGCAGACTTTGGGCTGCTCAGGAAACTGGTGGGTAAGGTCCCCTGGAAAACAATTTTGCAGGTGCCAGGGTCCATGAGTGCTGGTCACTTTTTAAGCACCATCTCCTAAGGCACAGGAACAGGCAATTCCTAAATGCTGGAAGACCAGCAGACAAGGCAGAAGGCCAGCTTGGCTGACTAGGAATCTTCTTTTGGAGGTGAGACAGACATAAAAGGATGGTGTATACCCAGTGGAAGCAGGGTCAGGTGACATGGGAGGAACACAGAGATGCAGCTCGTTGCTGCAGGGAGAAAATTCATGTGGCCAAAGATCAATTGGAGCTGAAGCTGGGCAGGACTGTGGGGGATAGTAAAAGAATTTCTTTAAGTACATTATTAGCGAAAGGCAGTGTAGAAATGACCTCGGCCCATTACAGGATGAGGATGGTCACCTCATAAACAGGGACATAGATAGAGATGTTTAATGTCTTTTTCACCTCTGTCTTCAACACTGATGGCAGGCCAAGCAGGTCACAGCACTGAGCTGGAGGACAGTAACTGCAAGAACATTCTACTCCCAGCTGACTCTGATGCTGTGAGATCTGCTGCTCCAGCTGGATCCATACAAATCTATGGGGCCTGATGGGACTCATCCTAGAATGCTTAAGAAATTGGCTGGTGTCATTGCAAGGCCTCTCTTGATGATTTTTCAACAGTCTTGGGAATCTGGAGAGGTCCTGCTTGACTGGAAGCTGCTAATGTTGTCCTGATTTTCAAAAAGGGCAGGAAGGATGACCCTGGTAGCCTGTTAGCCTCACTACTGTACCTGGTAGACCATGGAAAAGATTATGCTGTGAGGTACTGAAGACCACCTGAAGGACAACACAGTCACTGGACACAGCCAGCATGGCTTCATGGGGGGAAAGTCCTGCTTGTCAAACCTCATTTCCTTTTATGACAAAGTAACTCACCTAGCTGATCAAGGGAAGCCAGCTGATGTGATCATTTTAGATTTTAGTAAAGCTTTTGATACCATCTCTCACAAGATCCTTCTGGACAAAATGTCCAACATAAAACTGGACAAACACACTATGCAAAACTTTGTAAGAGTCTGCTGTTATCACTGAGCTGTAAAGAGTTAATACAGATTCAAAGATCAGAAATTCAGCTGTGTAGCTAAAAATAATGTCAATGTTTGCAGAAAGCACTTTTAGATAAGGACTAGGAAGGGCAGAGAAATTCTATGTTCAATATACTGAATTACTTTTTTAGAAATGAATGATTTTGAATGTGCTAAAAATAATTTACACAGAGCTAATTCATTAGAAAGTGCAATTAAGGATTCTGGTCTCCATTCATATTCTCCTCAGGTTTCCAACAGGCCCCTCTAAAATCACTAGTGTTTAGCTGCTTTTGGTTTTCAATTAGCTAGAAAACAAAACTTTTGCATTTCTTCCTAATTTCTCTGTGGCAGAGACCTTCCCTGCTTACCTAGAGTCTTCCCTCACTCCATGACCCTTGGAGTAAGTGTCACAGTGGTTCAGGTCAGCAGCCCTGGCTCCCCATGCTGTCTGGAAAAGATCCCAAACTCGACTGTGCCATGAGGTGCTGCAAGAACCAGTGACCAGTTTCCACTGGCAAGCCAATGCTGGCAGGGGACAGTGCAAAGGGGAACTGTGGTCTTGTCCAGGGTCTCTAAAACTCATCTGCTTTTCTGCCAGACAATATGTTAGTGATACATGTATATTGAGACAGACCTCAGGACTGCCAGAAGTGATAAACTTAGCAAAAAAAAAGTAAGAATACAGCAGATTTATTGTTCACCTGTTATAAATGTCCACATTTTCAGTATGACATTCATTTACAGCTAACAAAGGTGTCTTTTTTACTGTTGTTGAGGTAAAGTTTTCATAAAATTACCTGCAGTAATGACAGCCTTAATATTAATTTTAGAACTATATATTGTGTGTGTCTCGTAGCTGCTCCCACCATGAACACCATGATGTGTGAGTGTTTCAGAACACCTGATCTATAAGTCAGAATAAAACAGCCCCTGAAGCACCCAAGCCACTTCTTCAGATCTCAGATAGAAATGACCTTCAAAGGTAAGCAGAGGTTGCAGAATAACACTGAGCTTTTGCTATCAGTTTATCACCCAATGTTAATAAGATTTCCAGGTATTAAAAGGTTCTCCATGGCACTTAGGACAACTTTTGATTACACTAAACCATGTTGTGTTACAGGCACAGTTAGGTCACCATTTACCTCCTTGGCCAGATCAGCTGCAAGTGCTGAAGAGCATAAAAACACATGTGATTGCACATGTAACCCTCCCTGCATTATCAAAAAATCACTTATTTTCAATATCTTTGCCCTGGTTTAACCAGTTAATAATTCACAGGGGGTGATTTTTCCTATTTCATGGTACTGTGTTATTCAAAGCCTTGTTCACCAGGAATCTTGATACAGGCTATTTTGAAATCTATGTACAATATTCCTCTGTCCATTAGGCTGCTCTTTCCTACTTGGTGAGTCTCTTAAAATGGGCTGTGCAAGGTAGCTCAGAGAATGACAAATTAGCCTGTACAATGACTCTGTTGCTGTAAGTGGGATTCTTTCCATTTCTTTTGCATAAAACTAATTGGAAAAAAAAAAAGCACAACGACTCTAACATCCTTAATGTGATTCCATGGGCAGGGAGCAAAGTAGTAAAACACAGGCTGAAACTGGACCCAGAAGACAAACTGTCCAGTGCTACACCATTTAAGTGTCTTCAACTTCTCATGCAAAAAACCAAAAAGCAGTCCAAGCATGAGTACTTACACTCTTGATGCCTAGTCCTCGTAGCGTTATGTGTGTCTGTCTCCAGCCATGGCCACCATTTCTTCCCCAAACAGCTGGTCCATGAGCACCATTCTTCCTGACAAAGACTTGGAGGGCACCCGAATGCAGCCCAGGCACCTTATGCCTGAATGACAGGCACAAGTCACTGGCCTGAGCCATGTGACCCAATGGCAGGATAAGATGTGCTACTCTTCCTTCTTTGCCTTTGGGATCAGAGATGGTAAGATACTGTCCCCCTGCAGTGGAAAAAGCAGTTAGTTGGGTTTTTTAAAAATGCTACCAGGTTGCAGTACCAATTGCACAACAGTTATTAAAAAATGAAAAAGGTCCAGCAAGTGTTAAGGTATATAGAACTAAAACTGATGCATCTGCTTCCGGCAGGGTAAGACTTAGAGTGCTGCTCTTCTCTTTACATCACTACCAAGGCAGGTCTTGCCCATCTAACTTCTTTTTGACAAAACAAATAATACCTCTCTCTTGAAAACAAGAATTTCATGTATTTCTTCATTCTTAAACAACCCCTTGGTGACTGCATGATTTTACACCCACAGTGACATTACAGCCACTGTGGGAATTTATGTACCTTCCAAGATGCAGTGTTTAGCTACTGGATGGATGGAGGAGAAGGCCAGAATAAATGCTATCAGGTAATTGAGCTACAGTTCTGTTTTATCCCTTTCCTTTTGTTTGGGAACTATGTTAACAGGCTAAGTCTTCAAGTATATCTATTGGCAACCACAGATAGCCTTTTTATTTAACTGTAATTTAAACTCTTAATCTAGATTCGATGCAGAAAGCTAGAAGCAGTAATGATTAACATTACTGTTAACCCTGCAGTCTACTCTAACAGTAGGAAGTTGTCAGTGAAAATACATAATGAATTCAAAACCCTATTATTATCTCTGATCATGTATGAAGTAAAGGTGCCTTCCTTAACAGGAGCAGCTGAGGCTCCCAGATATGGCAAAATCCATTAAACATACCAAAGAAAAGGAACCTTTCACACCAGCACTCAGAACTACACTAAATGAGACTTCACAACTTGGCAAAAACCCAGACCTGTATTTGTTCTTTGTACTCTTCATTAAAACTTCTGCAAGGTGGGTAGGTGATTAACTTTAAAATCCGAAATTACCAAAGGGAAGAAGCTTCTCTTTTTTTAAAAAAATTAAAATTTTAGAAAAGATTCCTATGTTACACTGAACCTAAGAATCTTTTTTTTTATGAGATCAGATTTTACATTTTTCTAATAAAAAATTTTTTTATGAACTTAAGGCAAAGGTGGCATTTAGGGTCCTCAGTTGAAACTGATGATCTAGAAATACTGGGGGATTGTAATATTGTTGATATACAGTCTTAATTACAGGCTAGAAAAATATTTTTTATTTAAATTGTCTCCTGCTACTATTCAACCTGAGCTTTAATTTTTGAAAGTCACAATGATTTTCCTCAAAAGCTGTGAGATTTAATGGCAATGTAGCAGGGCTTGTCCCACACTTCAAAGAGAAGCCAAATTTGTCTCCAACTCACTACTTCTACAGAGATTTTTTAGTTCTTTGGTCTCAATGAGATTTAACAAAACAAAGTCTGGGTCCCTAGATCAGCATTTAGCCATGAAGTGAGACTCATTTGTCCAAGGGTATGTTAAAATCATTTGGTGGGTATTTTTTCAGGATTTTTTTTAAAATGCATTGGTTTTGCAACAAGGTTACTAACTGCTAAAATAAGCATAATAGATTTTAAATAACTGGACCTGTTTGTTGAAAATACAATTATATCACTATAAAAGTACTGACTTGACTCATTAACTGCATTGGTTTCAGATAGTTACTGTGACTGAATCCAATCAATCGGAAACAGACCTAGGTAAGCACAAAGCCAATGTATCTGTAGGCAAGCCCCTACAGGAAAAGGTTCCCTCAAATCAGCATTTTCTGCATGCAAGATAAGCTTATAAGGCTTCAGCTCAGCACCTTTCAAAATGCAGATTCTGATAAACCAATATATAGCAAACTTTGAAAGGTGAAAGCAAGCACTCAGGAACAAGCTGTGAAAATAAATCCTTGCAGCAAGGTATTCCAGTCAGGAGGGAGTGGGTGGGTGACTTCAAGGGACTAGTTTTAACAGGTTATGTCAACAGCAGCAGAACATACACAGGAAACAAAAAGCTGAGTTTGTCCCTGACTACTGGGAAGCAACACAGAAGAAAAATCTCACCAAAAAAAGCCACCTAAACCCCACAGTTCTGGAACTTAATAGGCATTAACAACAATTTTTGAGTACAGATAATGAATATGCTCTGAGAGACTGACTTAGAAAGGATTTTTTCATCCATTGTTTCAAGAAAATGTATTAATTGTGTGACCTTTTTTTAAACAGCAGTCTGCAAGCAGGAGACAGCTATGTGTTTCCTCATCAGAAGGGGAAGGAGCTTGGCTCAGTCACTGATGAGACTTTTTAAGTGTCATAAGGAGCACTGAAATACTAGAGCATGTCTGTGCATGGGGAAGGGGCCTGCCCAGTAAGTGAAGATAGCACTCCCACTTAGCCACCTAAGCAGGCTGAAAAAGGTGCCAGGTCACCTGCTGTGGTGGCAAATGACTGTCTCATCGCTGGCAGCACAAGGACAGACAGCAGTGATGAGGTGGTGCATAAGGAAAAGGGCTCTCGGTGCCCTCATGCTCCCTCATCTTAACCTATCCCATTCTGCCTGCACTTCCTTCCACAGCCTGCCATCCCCTCACATAATGTGAGCATTGTGCACTTCAAAGGCTGCTCTTCTGGGCATGAAGTAATCCCATCATTACAGGGAGCCAGAGCTGTGTGTCTAATCCCCAGCTCTGTGGGGCAAGCACTGCTGGGGGAAGGGTATGCAGGCAGCAACAGCCAAACCTCTCAATGCCATGCAGTAAGATCAATGGGGGACAAAATACATCCAACATCAGCAATGTGGATGTACAGTTTTCCTGGGACAGCAGAGATGTGAGGGGGAAGGGCTGTTGCTTTGGCTGACCACCAGTGCCAGTGCCAGTCTTCTATCCTGCACGCAGCCAGTACACACTCCCCTTAACACTCATTGTAAGGTCACTCTTCACCATCCCAAACAATCCCATTTTCAGAAGCCTCTGCATGTCAGCACTGAACTTGTCTGCCTCCTTGTTACTTAACATTTTTCCTACATACAGATGGCTGTAACTTGCAGAAGAATTCAGTAAAGTCAAACTGAGAGGTTAAACTAGAACATTATATTTGGCAGCAGAACAGACTATTTCCAGAACTTTCTATAATTTTGCTAGTAATAGGGAAATAATTATGTTTACATGGGAGTTTGAAAGATAAGCTTTGTTTCATCATAAATAAAAGTTGTTCTCTGGTCCACATTTTTGTTTTTTCAGATTCTTCTAAGACTGAGAAACTTTTGCTGAATACATTTACTACTCCTTTAGAGACATTCCAATTTGAAAGATACCAGCTATGATAAAAGTGCAAATTCTCAATTGCTCTTTCATGTTGGGAATCATCAGTTTTGGTTTTTATACATGGAAGAGGTGTGGGGGTGAAATATATCCTTGAACTAAAGGGAAGAGAAGCTGTGTAATTAATTTGTCATAATGCAAGAACTGTTATCAACCTCAAGCCTGGGTGGTTCTTCCACTGCAGGATGCAACTGTACACAGATACCTTACCTGACACATCTCTCACTGGTTCCCAGTGCAAGTCATCATCTTTGTCCTTGATCCATCCACACAGTCCACTATCAAAATTACAGCTGTGTACCAGCACACCTGGCCAAACAGAGTAGGGGAGTCACAAAGAATAAAAGTGATTTGGATTGTTTAGTTTTTCAATTTCCCATGTGGCTGAAACTAGCAAGTAAACATGAAAATGAAATGTACAAGGAGCCCTAGAAAACAAATCTGCAAAAATACTAAAACAATAAAAAAGGCACTTGTGTATTATTAACAATTCACACTACTTTTGTGCTAAACCTGTAAGGAAATAAAACGATAAAGATTCACATAGGTGGTGGGTTGGGTTTTTTTCTTTTTACAAAGCCAAACTTACGCAAGAGGCATAGGATGTAAGAGTCCTGTAAAAATGTATAAACCCTCAAGAAATCTCAAAAAAATCCTTAACTCTAGGCCCTGAATAGGAGACTTGATCTTTACCTGGGTCATCGTTTGCTTCAAATTCATCGGCAGTAATCCCTCTTTCAATTTCAAGTGTATCAAAGAGATTATTGCTCACTCCAGGCTGGCGTGGAACTGTGAGAAAAAATGAATGAGATAAGAAAGTAGGTCACTAACTACATTTATCTTTAACAAAAACCAGCAGAACAGCTCTGGCCATTGTGCTTTTCTTGGAGACTTCAATATATTTAATTATATTGGACACAAAGACTCATAAACTTTCTGCCTGTGTGATTTATGATTTATGTTGTAACATTTATGTGAGCACTGTAAAAGGTGATTCCAAATCTCCTAAAGGCTCTTTGAATGAAAGCTCCTTTTTAATCAGGAGGGAAAGCTTTAACCTTGAAGCACACTACTCCCCTCCAAATGCATTTTTAAAAAGACAGTTGTTTCTCAGTCAAATAAGACCACACTAAAGCCCTTCCTCAACCCTTCCACAGACTTTTATAGGAGAACCTCAGCAGGAGGCAGAGGTACTTGAAAGAGGCCCCACATGCACTTAACCTTCAAAATACTGCTGAAGGTACATCCATCTATCTGCAAAGGCTTTTAGAGCTCCCTACATAGGATTGTACTGAGGGCTGAGAAGAAGGAGCTCCAGTGGAAGCTGGAATTCAACTGCAATCAGCCTTTCCAACACAGCCTGCCCTTCAACTGCTGTTCCCAGCTGCAAGGAGAAGGAACTCGGTGATTAACAGGCCCAGAGGTTATTAGACATTCTGCAGCCAGGACAACCTGAAATTTAAAAGAACTTTGTGGGAATGATGGCTGCCAAAGTCAGGTAACTACAAAGACTCCCATATATTCCCAAAGATGCTATGCCAGTCTGTGTAAGCCTCCAGAAATGACATGCAGATGTCTTGCCTGATGGACAGCTGTCAGGCAGAGAGAAACAGATTGCACTGAATAAAGCTGTCTTGGAAATTTCTCTTTTAGAGGCAGGCCTAGTGCATAATTCAACACAGTAGTAATGTGTTTCAGACATGTCCTTAGACGTTATAGGCACCTCTGACACCTAAGGTATTTGTAAGGACCTTATCTATTAAAAACTTGACATGTTTTCCATTTACAGTGCTAAAATAACAACCTCAATGTCCCTATAGACTTCTGAGGCAAGCGAGAACAAGAAGAATTGAAACGACTGAAATAAAGGACTGTTGTTTTCAGAAAATCAAGTCAAAAGGTAAGAAGGAACTTCTTTTGCACCAGGACAACACAAAGAGCACTGCTGCAAGAGTTCTTCTACAGTCAGAAGGCAGAAAAGAAAAAAAAGTATTAAATCAGGACAAAATAAGCAAACACTAATGTATTTTAAAAGTACGCTTCTAGGCTAGAGACCTTGAATAGAAATATTATATAATTAAAATAAATAATTAAAAAGCTTGAAGTCTGTAGGAAACCGATTAACTCCTAAATATAACAGCTGTTTTTTGAATAATTAAGTCTCCTTTTTTTGTTTTCTTTTTAATCCTTTATATATTTTAGATTATGTCTATTTGCAGTCTAGGACATTAATCCTCAAAATAGCTTCAGACTTAAGGTTGACTTGGGTAGTAAAGGCCTGCTCATTTTTAAAGATACCTCATTTGCAGTAAATAGTGGCTTTGCTGCTTTGTTTCTTCTGGGTGTTTTGCTTACATGATTAAAAACCTTGAGATTTAACATGAAAGGAACCTAACAAATGTGCACAGTCCACACCACCAGGCCCTGCAGTACATTTACACACAAATAC